ATTTAGAATGTTCCAGGCAAAAATATGGATGGAAGTCAGGCTGGAAAGCATCACAAGTTGTCACAGGCACTTTTTTAGCCAGTCTGCCTGTGAACGTCGATTTCGTCACTATTCTTGCCCTGGACTAGTACCGTAATCACAAAGTCACCAAACGCTTGTGCTTGATTGAGGGACACTGCATTCGTGCAGAACGTAGTTTTCGTCATGCTCTGGACAGTGCCTTTAAAATAAATTTGGAGGAGAAAAAGAAAAAAAGCCCCATGGCCGAATAAGGATGGAGACTATATCTTACAACCACATGCATAAAAACAAGATGTATTTTCGCCCACAAAATTGTATTTAATTACAATTGTATTTTAAATACCCACGTTTTAGTATTGAAATACACACGTGAAATACATTATCCAATTTGTAATTAAATAAAAATATAAAATACTCAAAGTATTTGAAATACGTATTTCAAATACTTGTATTTGAAATACTGCCCATCCCTATGTATGGCAAATGTCAGGCAATTGTGTTGCGCAGCCTTCCATACTCTCGAGCTCCTCTCCCTTAGTGCGCACAGGTGGTCGAGCTGCTCCTCGCCTACCCCTCTGGACACCTGGACACATGCCCCCCCCCTCCCCCCCCCCCCCCCGTTAACCAATCAGCGTCGAGCACCTCGCTCCTCCTCTCCCACCCGTCAACCAATCAGTGTCGAGCCTCGCGGCCACGTTTTTATCCAGGCTTCACGAAGTGCCGAACACCAAAGAACGTTTCACGTTAAAATACCTGTAGCCAACACTGACCGCGCCTTACACTTAAACTCAGTGACGAATGCTTTAAAGGTTTGTTCGCACTTCTTAGGAACTGTACTCAGTCTACAACATCTCTTGCGAACGCTTCTCCGCGGAGCACCATTCACTATACTACGAGCGTCAGCGATACTTTTTGGAAGTGTGAAATACGGTGCAGTCGTCTTCCTGTCAGTGTGATGGCGTCAAGTTCCTAATTCTACGCAAGAGGGCCCGACCAAACGATTGGGCGCGTTTCCAGCCTTTGAAGAAGAAAAGAGGGGAAAGTAGCCGCCTTAGGACGAATACGAAATTAGCAATTGATTGTTGCGCTATGGTGAGCATCACGCTCGCACCATGGAGCGAACGCGCCTGCCTCACAGCCTGGGCGTCTTGGGTGTTTAGGTGTGAATGAATATCCGGTCCCGAAGGTGCGGTGCCTGGAAGAAGGCGGCGGCGACGCGTTCCCGGAATCCCGGCGGGCGATTGCGGAGGACAGTGTCGCTTGGCCGCCGCTTTTTCTTTTGACGAGCGGCGCACGAGGGCGAGCGAGGTCAAGGTCATCCGGTCTCCCGCCGCCGCTGGTTCCTTCCAGTGCTCGCTGTCAGTTTGGGGAGGCCGCCAGACAGGCTTCCTCGCGGCCGATGCCGTCCGCAGACTGCGTTGCGTCGCAGCCGCTCGCTGCCATGCCGGGGCTTGGCCTGCTGCTGCCCGTCCCCCAGAATCCACAAGAAACTGAGAGAGAGAGATGGGGGTTCCAAAGGATGGCGTAGAGATGCAGCGTTACCGCAAATATCGAGCGCACTTCCGAGGGCTAATTTGGGCGATGCCAGACTTGTACGTAACGCGTTACAAGTAATGGAGTACTTGTAATCGATTACATTGAACTGTAATTTTGTAACGCTTCATTTACTCCCTTTAAGGAGTAACGATCCTTGTAATTGAATTACTTTTTTTGCTGTAATCGATTACAAAATTACCCATGACAATTTTTCTCAATTTATTTGGGGGGAGGGGGGAGGGGTTAGATGTGCTGGAGTCACTCAGCTCTGGGCGACGGTCAATTTGTTTTTGTTCGAAATTATTGACCATGGGACTTCGAGGCTTAGGAGACCACTTCACTTTGCTTTGTTTCCTGGGTACATTTTGATTTTGGTACACCGGAAACTACGTGCGTATATGAAAAAGGACCTTATCCAGCCTCTTGTGAGTAGTGTATTTAAACAGCGCTCTTTTTATTTATTATATTTTTTTCACGAGCGGGATTGAGTGTCTTGGCGTCTTTCACTCAGCTGTGACCAAAACGGTCACAGCTTTTTTTTTTTTTTTGTAACAACTGAGCTTGACACCCCAAGGATTATGCTACCGTAATAAAAAAAAGTGCAAGTAACTTGGGAAGTAATCGATTACTTTAGAGTAATTTTTGATTACTTTTTTTGAGGCTGTAATTGTAATTGTAATCGGTTACTTTTTTTCAGTAACGTGTACAAGTCTGGCTGATGCTAACTTGGAGTCTGTACCTTGTCCACTGATATCGAAACCGGCATCGGTGGGAATTTGCGCCAGAACCTCCGATTTCGTAGTCCTCGGCCTCCGATGTGCCGTGGATGCTTTGGAGCCGCCCGAGCCAGTTGGTTTACTTTCGGTCGAGAGTTATAATAAACCGTTCCCGACGCCTTTGCCCAGTTTTCGTAGACCGTATTCCCTCCTCCGCTACGCTCTCCGGAACGAAGACTCCATGCGCGGCGCTAGCCTTACCTGCACAGTCCTGGATCTCGTAAGTGGGTGGCGTTGAGGGTCAGCGGAAACTAGGGAGTTTTCGTAGATCGTTTTCGCCGTCCCGCAACGCCCTCCGCAGCCCGGTACGATACCCTTAACTCCAGTCAAGGCTATCGGCGCGCAGGCGCAGTGGCAACTTCTTCGTTGCGGAGGGCTTAGCGGAGCGGGAAACGCAGTCTCCGAAAACTCCCTAATCTACTACAACTCCCTATTCGCGGTCTGAAACTATACCAGAGAAGCATCGCTGAAGGGTGTATAAGCTCGAACGCCGAACTTCCCAACGCAGAAGCTTCGTCCCTGACAAGTATATTTGCGGAGGACTAATGGCTACGTGAAGCAGCAAACTGCTAGGAAGTGGAGACGTCGCCCACGGGAGGTTTCCGTCGGGGGCCCGTGCAGGGTCAGCAACTCCCGTCGGGCTCGACCGATCGCTGGAGCGTCAAATAGGCGAGCCCGTTCGGCGTTGTGTGCGTTCCGCCCGGACGAACTCGACCGCTTCACCGGAAGCTGAGCGCGTCGTCGCCGATGCGGGTAGCCCCGAGCTGTCAGCGGCGTCCCGTTCTGGGACGAAGGGGCCTCGACCGGGCCCGAGTTCACCAGATATTGTGCTACTCGGACTGTGTTACTGTCGCAATTGCTGCTTAAAAAAAAAAAAAAAAAAAAAAAAAAAAAATGACGGGGCATTTTTTTTTAGTTTTTGAACATGGATTCGGAAACTGGTTTCGGTGGAAGTATGCCCCCCTTCACCCTCCCCGGAATCCCTCGAACGCTCGGATTCCTTAAACATTCCATATCCTGAGCCCTTATTCCTGCGTAAACGGCGGTTAAGCAGACGCTAAGCCACCCATGCATGAATGCGTCCACCACAAACCAGACACTGTCATGTTTCGCCCTATAGTCTCTTGCTTGACCGAAGTTGGTAACGTTTTGCGCATGTTTTCGCGTAAGGACGCGCCCGACGGGGGTAGGTTCGTGTAATCCTGAGACGGCAAAAGATGCCCGCCGGGTTAAGCCTGGTTCAGACAGTTGCGTTTGACTGCGTTTGACTGCGTTGCGGCTTCGAGAAACCATGACATCCCTGCTGCTTATATCGCGTGCCACGATGATTCCTTGAACTGGATTCCACGCTTCACACAAAGCACAGATGTGCCGTTGACTCGCTTTCGGTTCTCGACGCAACGCAGTCAAACGCACTCAAACGCAAGTGTCTGAACCGACCTTTACTTCGCAGCTCAGCATCCTGAGAACTATAATCGCTGCGATCCATCGAAGGAACCTTGCAAATAGCGTAACCGAGACAATGTCTGACCGATCAAACACGGTCTGCGCTGGGACACTCGGCGTGCGAAACGCCACGCTGAGACGTGTCCCTGAGCAGACCGCATTCCCGGGTCAAACGTTTCCTCCGTTCGTCGGATGCGGTAGATCGCATCGATAGTCTCTTCGCGTGCCCTGCCGGGAAGTAGCCGGGGCGGCTGCGAGCGTGCATGGCTCCCGTGTGCGAGCCGAGCTAATGGAGATGCGGCCGCCGCTCGGCGAATTCAGGCAGTCCTTTGTGCTCTCCTGTCCTTCTGGGATCCATCAACGTTTCTGTCAGATCTCGGCTCTTGCAGTCGAATTCTTTCTTTATTAGCCCGTCTGGGAGCTACGCGTGCTTAGCGCCGGCTCCAGTTTTGAATACGGACAGCCAAAGAGCCCTTATCAACGCAAAGTTGCGCCGAGCACGGCTTCGCTCAGGATATGTTGTCTAGTACCCCTGTGCGTGCGTGGCATTATTGATGATATCTGCCATAACCGCTTCGGCGGCGATTCAACTTCGGTTGACCTTATTCTTGTGGTTGTTTCGCAAGCGCGAGATCGCCATTCGGACGGCCTTTCTCACCGCATAGCAGCCGAATGAACCCCCGTGGATCCGTCTGCATTCATTTTGACGCAGTACTGGCACCGCTCAAGTTTACAACTGTATTCAACTCGTGGCGTAGTAAATATAGGATTTGGAGATTGATGATGGGATGGTTAGGGTTGACCAGACCCTGAGTTCTTTGTGCTATCAGTCCCCATTTAGACATATATGCGGTGGTTGTTTCGCTAAGACCGTGAAACCAATCCATCAGCGCCTTCATTTAACACGCTAGTTTGGCCCGATTTATCGCGTTGATTATGGTTTTTCATCGCTGAAGGGCGGTGCGTGCAATCGTGCTCAAATTGATATGCTCTTAAATTAAACTCGACGTGACAGCGAGGCCGACTGCCAATACTGTTTTCCGAGGCTGCAGAGATGCATCGATCAAACGCTGAACTGGCTACTTGATTAAAACGTTCGAATGGGTGCTTGGGCGTCTATCGCGCGGCGCTACCGCGGGGTCATTCTGTTATAGGTCGGGCGGTGTTTACACAATGCCAGTGTTCCTTATTTCTCCTCCTTCGTTCTTTACTTTTGGGCAGTTGGACGACTGCACACTGCAGCTGTACAAGTTCAGCGCCGCCGACAGCGACTATGGCAGCTACTTGGACCTTGAGTCGACTATCGACGAACAGAGCGACGACTTCGAAGGCTTCCAAGACAAGTGAGTGTCTCCATCCATTCCTCACCTCGGCGACTCTGGCACTGAAAGCGGAGTGGAAGCTACTGGCTGACCGAAGCGGTCGGTTCATACCATCCGCTTGTCGCCACGTGATGGCGCTCGCTCCAGCAAGCCCGTAGCTTCCACTCCGGCCTTAGAGAGTAAGGGCGAAATAAATATACCTAAAATAAACGAACACGCAAGAAAACGCTGGCGGTTAGTTCAGTCGATGACGTCTCATCGCGGTTTACCAGGAACCGAGAGTGCTTCCGAGCAAGCTCTCTATTTACGGTCGCTGACGGCTTCTAAACCGCAGGAAGTGGAGAGCCTCGATCACCGCTTTTGCGGACAGTAGTGAAATTGTCGCGCCGATAAAGAGCGCCGAAGCAAGAAGCGAAAGTCGAGCCCTGCGTACATGTTATCAGTGACTAAAGGGACTAAAATCTGACTCATTTTCTGGGTAACCGTCGAACGCTCCTCCATGGAAACCGATCATGCAGACGCGACGTTTCGGCGAGGGAGTGCTCCACATGCCGCTTCGTGGCTTGAAAAAACGGCTTCTGCTCGAAAGCGTCGCGCCGACTGCCGAGCTCATCTGTTTTGTCTGTTTTATAACTTTTAGACGTGATCATCTTCACATTTTGGCAGTCATAACCAGCCAGTGATACCTCAGAGGCATTTTAGGCTAGCGAGCATGTGTGGCGAAAACAATGTTTGGTGTCCGTAACAATAGTGCACACTGTTTCCACGCGCGAGATAAAATGTGCTGCGAGAACAGTGTGTACGCGCTCGAGCGCCATTCGTGGTTTTACTGCAGCTGTTTGACAGACGGTGTCTCGCCGCCGCCGTCGGCTCCAGCTGTTCTTTCCCAGTGCGCCTCTGCACGGGAAAGAGAGACGAGAAAGCGACAAAGCGACAGCCCGCTCCCGCGACTGGCTTTCACGTCCTGTCCGTTCGCGCCCGCTGGCCACGGAAATAAAATCTGCCCGCTGGGGTGTTTGTGGGAACACCGACCGCAGAGGGGAAGCGTTCCGACATTCCAGTGAAAGATGCTTTCCACGATTAAATCCTAGTGCATATGGTTGCGAGTGCCTCGCGGCCTAACATTAGTTAGATCGAGGGAGCGACGAACAAAAAAATGAAAGAAAGGAACCATTCCCGGCATTTTTGATTCTGGCAACAGAGCTCGGGGTCTGCAATAACACACCGTTTGCGTAAGCCTTGGAAAAAACAAACGGCGACTGTTGCGCGCGGCTGCTGCGTTTGACACACGCGTCCCTTCGCAGCGCGCTTCCGCTGCGAAAGGACGGGGGGGGGGGGGGGGGGGGGGGGGGGATAGCACAGCGGAAGCCCATCTCGTTCGGTGCGAGTGTACGGAGGCAACGATTGTTGTTGGCATAGCCAGCTCGAAAACTGTCTTATTGGAGCACTGCTGAAGTTTTAGCAAAACGCCCGTTGTAAAGAAAGAGCTGCTTTGGGAGGTTCCTTTTTGAAGAGAGTCGACTCGGAGATCAAAGACGCGTTTCATAAGTGACAACAAATGCGCACTATGTGTTCTTGTGCTGTCGCTTGGAGGTGCCTGTCACGCGCGCTGTCGCCTGTCGTCTGGTTGAGTAGAACGCATTTGGTTTCTCTCCTCTTTTTTTCCTTCCCCCCCGAGTTAGCGATCAGTCAGCGGGTGATTAATGAATCCGTTCGCTGATAAGCTCGAAAGCGGTTGCGCAAACGAGAGGCCCGATGCCACTACCCGCTCTTTTGTCTCCGCTCGACTGATCGTTTCGAATGCGATGGCGGCATTTGGCAAGCGACTGGAACTTGGCAACGGGCTCGCGCTCATCGGAATGGTTTAGATAGACGACGCACTCGTTCGACGTGTCGCGCGCACCTATACTGTGCAGAAGTAAACACTCCCCGTTTTTATATCGACCACTTTCGGGCCGTGTTCACAGCGTTCAAGCCATCACATCATATTTAAAAAAGAGTAGTGAACGCTTTTTTTTCTTTCTTTTTTAATGCACGGTAGTTGATATTTATCTCAAAAACTCGCGGATCTACGAGATTTTTTTTTTTAATTTTTTCCTTCTCTTGGAATGTGTTAGAACGCTGGGGCCGTGGCCTGTTTCAAAGCTGTGAACTCGGCCTTTCCAGCCTCTGCTGCGTTCCACGTTGAGGTGAAGCGGACTTTAGCGATTCCATTGACTACGCCCGTTCCGGCCGACTGCGCACTGCTCGCGATTTCCATGTCCCATTCAGCTGACGCGCGTCATGGTGGCTGCCCTCGGCCGTGTTCCGTCGCCGGTGCACGCGCCATGTGGGGCCTGCGAGCAGCTTCGCTGACAAATGGGGCTCTTGAGACTCGCGCAGCGATTCCTCCATGCCAACGGCAGGCGTCATGGCGTCGGTATGGAGGACTCGCCAACGCTATGACGCCTCGTGCGCCATTCGGAGGGTGACCTACAATGACACTCTCCATTGCACCGAGCGAATCAACTCGGTGAACATGCGCCCAAGCGTGAAGTGAGGCGCTATAGCGAGCCAGTTTCCTCATCTCGGCGAGCAAGTTGATTGGCTGTTCGCCTAATGGAACTCAGTTCGTAGTCATATTTTTTTAGTGAAATTTCGTGGAGTCACTTGTGTCGGATTCGCAGAGCCAGATTTGTGGGCGCAGCAGGGCAGCTGTGGTGTGGGCAGCTGTAATTCTCGTGTCCAGTGACATTGCAGGCACTTGTGAGAGAGTGTCTATCTGCAAGGGACGTTGAGATGATCGGGGTAATCATCGTCAGCCCAACGTTGTTTCTGCCATCTTAGCGGGCCAGGCCCGAACAATTTACCCCAGAGAGGCGGATACTTCGGGCAGATGACGCGTAGCGACAGGAAAGGAGGCAGGTTTATGGCAACTGAGGCAGGTCGGGGGAAGCGGCCTTTGTGTTGAATTCTCATAACCGGGGTTCCAAGGAACAGGTAGTGGTCGGCGAAACCCCGCTGATGTGACTTCGTCGGCGCTAATCGCAAAACGGGCGGTCTGCCGCAGGAGCCATGCGTTTTCTTTTTTTTATTATTAATTTTTTTTTTTAATTTTTTTTTTTTTTTTTTTTTGGCAGGTGGCAGGTGGCAGCAGTTCGCGAATTCCGCAGCTGTCTTTTTCGAATCACGATAGAGGGCGCCATGAGACGGGATGTGGTAGGGTCGGGGTTTTGATAGTTTGAAACCCCTCCCCAGCTGGGAGTCCTATATACTCAGCTGGTGGAAGCGAGCAAACGTAGCGTTGACTTTTATTACAGCGATGTGGGTGCGTGCCATTATAACTGAAAAAAAAAAAGGGGGGGGGGGGGGCGCTTCTCGACTGCGTAGTCCCTAGTTCAATTGATTCCCAGAGATACGCTGTCTTCCGCTCTATTTTAAGTGAATCAACATACCACACCACAAAGGACGTGGCCTTGGAAACGCGACAGCATACAGATATACGACTCAACTTCTTCAGAATGTCGTCAAAGGAGTTGCACTTTTTTCCGTGGTTTTTGCGCAGATAAGATGAATGCAATAACATTTTCGGAGGTCATTCCAGACGCCAAAAGTTTTGGTCCGTGAACTCGGTCTATAGGTTGTTTCCAGCCCCAGATACCAATGACCAAAAACATCGGAATGTGTGTTTTTCGCCCTCGTAATCTGCAGAGACCTCGCCATCTTCGGTCCCGACCGATGACCGACTGAACACTGAACTGTTTATACGTCGTTGAACCTAACAGTACCCGTACGCACTAACAAACGCAACCTTTCTTCTCTTTCCACACCTCTCTTCCTCAACATTGTTTTCAATATCCGGGCTCTGTTGAGAATAAACCAGAAGAAACAATTCAAACAACAATGTGTTTTTATTCGTTTTTTTGTGTTTTTGTTTAAGCGGAGGTGAGGTAGGTGTTAGATGTCTAACTCGACTGGAAAATAACGTAGCAGGTAAATTAATTAGTGCAATCCTTGGCCCGCTAAATAGTCTCGAGCAAAACCTGCGCAAGATGTTGTGACGTGTAACTTTCTTTTATTGTGCGCTAGTACCGGCAGTTATTAGCTGTGGCGAAAGCTCCGCGGACAAATCACTCACTAGAGGTCGTATAGAGATCCGAAACAGTTGATTCGTGTTCACTACGTGCGTTGCCCGGCTGTGCGCTCGAGCAAGAAAAAAAAAAAAAAAAGCATTGTTTGTATAGTTTGCAAACGTTCAATGAACTCTGCTCGCCGACCTGACAAAAAAACGCACTGTATGGAGCTTTTAGGGCGCTTTAATATTACCAAGTGGGAATAAGCTCCGACGTTTGTCAGCCAGCAAGTTTACTAAGGAGCCGTTTTTTATGTTCTTGTCGTGTCTTTATGAGGGTTGGTCGAATGGCATCAAGTAAAGCGGCACCAGGCTTTCGAAATTCGAAGCTGTCCAGTGAGGGTCTCGCGCCAATTGCCCCTTTCCTGCGTCGCAAGATTTGGTCGCGTGGCTGATCAAGTGCGGCGCTGTCAAGCTAGGGCCCGAAAACACGTGCTTCGAAAAGAACCTCTGGCCAATGCCATTTTTAGCGTTCGCGCCTATGCGGCGGCGCGTAGTTTGCTCGCTTTCCGAAAGCACGAATATGCGCTCTCGCGATGGGCTGCGAAGATCGCACGCTGAGCTGCGATTTTGCAAACATTGGGGCGGCTTGTGCGCGTGTGTATAGCTTGGGATTGGGGCTTGAAACTTCGCAGGGGCGTTCGCACTGTTCGCATGACACACGTTTGGAGATAAATGCCACACGTTGCTTTTCATTACCCGAGGAACGGGGTTTGCGAAGGACCACGAGTTCAGATGAAAGGTGTGGTATATCCCCCTCTTCGTATACCTCTTCCAACTCTCGACTCGCGTGCCGGGCCAACACCTCCTATACCTGTTGTCACATCGAGGAAAAGCACATTAGTCATGCGCTGCGCGAAGTAGTGCTTACAGGATTTGGTTTTCGAAGGAAGAAACGATGTTTTTGGCG